AAAATTACTTTTAGAAAGAAGAAACGAAAACATAACATCTGAACGCCTTTTTTTAACTCCAAACCCTTTTTGGAGGCACAAAAATTCTAAAGGTTGGTTTAAAAATGTTCCACTGGGAATTAACATGATATCTTCTTGGACCAAAATTTCAGCAACAAAAATTGGCCTTGACACCACAACTAATAAAATTACCCATCATTCAAACCGTGCTAGTACAGTTACACAGTTAGCCAAAGCAGGAATAAGTGACCAGCAGCTCATAAAAATTACTGGACATTCTTCTTCAGCATCGATCAAACCCTATTTACAAATTGACCCTGAACATCACGAAAATCTAGTTAGTAACTTACGATCATCGGATATTATGAAGTGTACGAACGAATATTCGACATGTGTCGAAACCATCAGAGAAGAAAATAATATAGAAATTTCGACACCAAACCATAATATTTTCAAAAATTGTAGTTTTAATAACTGCTCCTTCAGATAGTTTTTTCAATAAAGTTAATTATTGTTGTTATTTATTTATACATTGTCGTTGATTCATCATGCCAAAAAACACTCGAACTTTTTTTAATGGATAAATTTCTTTCCTAACTCAAACATTTTCCATCAGTAATTTCGCTCGAAAAACTGACATTAGACAAAATTGCTCGACCTACGGTCTCGCAATTTTTTCATGTCAGTTTTTCTCCAAAAATTACTGATTGGCAAATGTTTTCGTTAGGAAGAGAATTTTATCCGATAAAAAAAAAGCTCTTGTGTTTTTACTGTTGATAATATCTCTTTCCGTGCTTGCCATGAAGAATGGAAATTTTTCATTAACCCAAAGTAGAAGTATACGTTGATTATCTCAATTCCAGACAATCTGCATATTTGAAAGTACTGCGCCATGCGACATTCGCGGTGAAGCTGGGAAACTTGTTCAGATGATAATTTAGCAGGTCGTTATACTACATTTAACTAGAATCCGGACCATCAAGTATGAAAAGTCTATTAGTGGAGCTGAGAAGTTCACAAATTCGAGTTATATCTGCACTCGCACTGCAGAGACTTGTGAGATGATTTCCTTGCACTTTCCCAATCTTCACATGCTGTGAGAAATTAGGAGTTCAACAATACCATCTTTATGTGAAAAGTTCGCACAATAATCATCATCTCACATTGAGACTCTTGCTTTGGAGTCATCATTGCGCCTGATTTTACGTCAATAACAATTTTTTCAAATTAGGATTCAAATACTGTCTGTAGGTTAATCTAGGAGGTGGTACATTCATTATAACAAATTTTTTGGGATTATCTCTCCACGTTCCTATGAAATAAAAATATGAATATTATTTCAATATACGTGTAGTAAGGACAAATCAGATGATTTGCCCCAAAATGTCACTGCGTTCAAAGAATTTTTCTATCAGAGAGCCTAAAAGAAAAATTCACTAGCTTGTCAGTGACAATTTGTATTGAAAAAATTTTGGAGAAGAGAAATAAAGGTATATAGAAAAAATATCAAATTTTCACTTATTCTTGGACGTTTTGGGACCGATTCTGCTCCTGTTTTCAACATGAGAAGAGATCATTTCAATAGCGAAGTCGTATAATATGTCTCGAAGCTTTTCAGTTTTCAATGACAATTGGTGACGTTGGCAATCAAATGAGTTACAGGATGTTTTCATTGATTAATCTTGAATTCACCATTTTCATGTTCAGATTTTTGTAGTGAATACCATGTTCTGTCTATATCAACTGAACAAGAAGCAATGCTATTGTCTCCGTTCAGAAGAATGCAAGCAGATTCCTCGATTTTTTTCTTCTGGTTGTTATCTTCTTTTCCAATGATTTTAATATTATTCCACTCTGCCATATGTTGCCCGTCTTCAGTAAGGATATGTTCAGCTAGTTTCGATTTATCGATGTTTCTTTCCTTTATATTGCACTCATGTTCCGAAAAATGAAGAACAATCGTCGAAAAATTGTATTTACAGTAAACCTTGTGTTTGTGTGAAGTTTTATACAGGTGAAACCAAGAGACCTCTTTCAGTAAGGACGATGGAACATAAGGTGCTCGGAACAAACGATCTATCTACAAGGGTACTAGTTAATTTTTTCAAATGAAACACCCTGTATTTCATTGCATTTCTAGATTCTTCCTGGAGAGCTGATCTCATCAATGTATCACAGTAGGAGTCTAGCGTGAATGATTACAGAGATATAGGGTGTTCAAAATCGAGATTTTTCAACTCAAGGATTTTTTTCTGTCGAAGCTATTCATTGAACCACCCTGTAGTGTTCCCATTAAATGTCAATAGATAGTAAATCAAAAGTTTTGACCACGAATGAATAGTTTGGACACAAAGTTGAAAAATCTCGATTTTGAACACCCTATACCTCCGTAATCATTCCCGCTAGACCCCAAGTGTGTGCATTGATGAAATCAGCTCTCTAGGGAGGATATGAGAATGAAATGACGCACAGGGTGTCCCATTTCAAAAAATCAACCATTACCCTTTAGATCGTTTGTTCCGAGCACTCTGTATTTTCTGATGTAGCGGAAAAAACTTATCGAAAAATCATTTCAAATGATCCCTCAAATTTTGCGATCGGTTCAGAAATAAGTGAGGTAGAGGATGGGACATTTATGGTGAATCAACCTGTATACATCGATCCAAAGGTAACCACTTCATAGAATGATTCCTTTTTTCCTCAGAATTCAGTATGACGCACCATCATTCCAAATTCACTCATCCATCCCTACACGAATTTAATTAAGTTCTATTATGCAGAATCCCATCCCATCCCATTCACCATCATCTGTTGTACGCATATTCGCTGGTATGGAATTAATTATGCGCCCAACTTTACACATCAAGTATGCACAACGCAGGCACAAGTTACAGCATAATAAAATGATAAACATGCATAACTCAATGTGTGGTAGCCCGTGGACATCTTCAACATCAACATTTTACAGAATCTACAGGGTCTTCTAACGTTATTACCTATAAAGGCCTGGTTTCTCTGACCAGATCATCCCGAAATAAACTGGTCAACATTGATAACGTCGTGCTCCAAAATAGCCTTGATTCAAAGTAGAATAACTCACGAGTTTCCTCACCAATTTGAAATCGGTTTTCACCGATGATTAGCCCAATCTCTTGACAGTTTGTTGTGACAATATGAAACTTCTGTTATTTCAGATAACATTGCTACAGGGCGATAATTTAATAGGTGTAAAATTGTATCGTGGTCGTCACCTTACCGACTACCATTTAAACAGATAATTTCTCACCTGTATCCTCTTGGTTGATGCTTTCTGCCGAATCGTTTTCGGAATTTTCAAATTCAGTGCTCTGATAATCGTGTTATGAATATTCATTCAGAATGATGCATTCTTCCGACGATCAATTGAATGAAATTGGAAGTTGAAAATCTTCTCCGACGAATCGACGTTGTATGTATAGTCGTCAGATATGTGATCGTGTTCGAACACAGAAAATTCTGAAAAAGTCTATACAAAGTGATTCGATACAGCATATACCATTCACGAGAAAATCGACTTCAAAAACTTTCTGACTTGCGTATATCTATTGATGAAAATTCGATGGAGAAACAACTTCCCAAAATGTATACACCATATTTGAATATCTGGCAATTGAATAGTTCTCAAAATACTCAAAACTGGTACTCAAGGTACTGTTAACAGGTACCTAAATACTGAAGTACTTAACACGAGACTTAAAAGCTTAGTATTGAAAATGATACTTGAAGTAAATACTTCAAATTCCATGGTGTACACCTATTTGAAGAGTTGTTTTTCCATCGTTAAAATTAATCTGCATTACCAAAGAAGAAAAAACAACCCTTTGTCACCAACACAATATTCAACAATTTTGAATTCAGTATCTCATATTCACCATCAGATGTACAGGGTGGCCAACTAAGACTCCAGAGTTAGATTTCTCTGTTGTCTTGAGAGATACAAAAAAAAGTTATGCATCAAAATTAAATTGATAATCCAGCTTCACATTTCAAAATTTCTTTGAAATACACAGGGTGTTCCGTGAGGTCACAGCACATCAAAGCTATGTTTTTTTCATTGGAACACCCTATTTTTTATTTCATTTTTGAATTCTTCCTAAAGATCTGATTTCAACGACGTATCATACTCAGGGTCTAGCAGTGAAAGTTACTGACATATAGGGTGTGCAAAATCGAGATTTTTCAAGTTCAGGATTTTTTTCTGTCGAAACTGTTCATTATTCGTCATAACGGTTCACATGTCCCTATCTCAACTTTTCACTCACTATCAATTGTGTTCAATTGACATTTAATTGAAACAAATTATAAATTCAGATTTTTTGACCACCTTGTATCAATTTCAATTGAACACCAATTGATAGTGAATGAAAAGTTGAGATAGGGACATGTGAACCGTTTCGACGAATAATGAACAGTTCCAGCAGAAAAAAATCCTGAACTTGGAAAATCTCGATTTTGCACACCCTATATGTCAGTAACTTTCACTGCTAGACCCTAAGTATGATGGGTCGTTGAAATCAGATCTCCAGGAAGAATTCAAAAATGAAATAAAATATAGGGTGTTCCGATGAAAAAAACATAGTTTTTGTATCTCTCAAGACAACAAAGAAATCGAACTCTGGAGTCTTAGTTGGCCACCCTGTATATAATGTGCACCAGTGTGTAAAATTTAATTTTGAGGGGTTTTGTAGTTATAGGAAAAAATCCATAATAATAGGGACTTTTTGCCTTGTATATTATGATACCAATACTGCTGGACAGGAGATTCAATGAACAATGATGGGATTTTTGCTATCAAAACAAGTATGCAACTTGAAACTGTGTGGTTTTTCTAACCGTTTGTGGAGTTTTCGGGATGCTAGAATGAGATTTCAATAAAGAAGTCGCCGATTCGAGTCAAAAGGTGTAATTTGACTCTTTGTCGTGCATGTTCTTGAATAAATCGAATTTTCCTTCTCTTTCAGAGGGGTCAGCAAGGCAATGAAGGCGGTGCCTCGACAGGCTCTTCAGGCTATCCCAATCGAGCCCGACCAAATAAAGTGAGTACATACTTGTAGCTAATGGCGTTATACGAAAGTCGCTGAATTCGTGTGTCGAAACTTTCCCCATAACTACCTGGCTGGAAATCTATCCGATCTCTTCTCGGAGTTGGAACTTCAAAGAGATTTAAAGGATTCCGTGTTTCGTATTAATGGTGTTTTGCAGAGACTGCATAATTGAGCAGTTGTTTTCGTGTCAGATTGTCGAGGGGAATCTGGAGGTCCAAATAATATAAGATGCAAGATTCAGTAATTTGAAATATTCATGCGAATCAGGAGGAAGTTTCTCACATCTAGAGGATCCTGGTTGCATCACCATGGCAACTCAGAAAATTTCCATCCTGCAGGGTAACATCTTGCTGAAAACGGTAGTCGAATTTTTTGCTAATATTTCATGAAATAACGTATCCCTGATGGCACACAACGTCCTAGGGACGTCCCTATTTGGTACAATTCACGTCCTAATGTCCCGAACCAGAAATGAGTGTCCTTGGGACGTCCCATCCCGTACATCTCATGCAATGTCCGAGCAAGGACGTCCACGGAATGTCCCAGCTGGTACATTATTTCAAATGTCCTAAAAATAGCGTCCCTCAGACGTCCCACGTGGTACATATTGTAGAATGTCCATGCAAGGACGTACTTGGCATGTCCCAGATGGAATATGATTTCAAACGTTCCTTTAGGGACATCCATCGTATGTCCCGAGTAGTACGTATTCTGGCATATTTTCAGATCTCATATAATGTCCCTTCTAGATTACTGAGTTGTAATAATTATATTATAAAAATGTCACATCAATGTCAGACTATCAAATAATAATATATCAAGTACATAACATAACTAGTCACCATAAGTATACTCTACTCAGTTCACTTTATCAATCTTCTGTTCGGTTTGTATGGGCTGGATGGTTATCTCCGATTGAGTGGCCAGCATCAAATATTGCTTCTCTGATCTGCAACAATACATCACATATCAATCGAAGTGCATTAATACCAGAAAATAAATATTATTAGATGAATTACATGAATATTGAATCTGAGACATACCTGAATAATATATTCAACATCCGTAACGGGATTGCTACATATCCACTTTCTTTCTCAATAGTGTTCTCTTCAGTAGGCATCTTCCACATTTTCAATTACCTACATGGGTAATATTAAGGACCTTGAAGGCCAAACGATCTGAAACTAAGGATCAATTTCAAATTTGAATCGTGAGACCTACATTAAATATTGGATATTGTTTTCAAAATTCGTAACTGGAACGCGATATATTTTTGTAATTCATCAATTCATCAACTATCTCAATGAAGACGAGACAGGCAGATAAACAACAATTTTCTCTGCAATGAAGAACACTGTATATACCTAACCCACCATGCGCCTACCTCCTTTGCAGAGAGGGTTTATAAACGCCGAGTTGATACTCTCCCCTCGTAAGGGTACCTGTCGTGTTTCCATAGAGACATAAAGCTGAATATCTGTCTATCTGTCTGCTTGAGAATCTGGAAACTTAATCAATATATCGCCTTCCGTACGAATATAATGATCTGAATTATGTAAAGTATACTCTGGTCAGTTATCTTTGTGGATGGTTTTCTCCGATTGACTGGCAAGTATCAAGCACTGCTATTTGGATCTGCAACTTAACATCACATTCAAATCGAAATACATTCGAATCAGGAAATATCATTACAGGAAATGCATAGATGTTGAATCTGAGACATACCTGGATATTTTCTACGTCCGTAACTAGATTGCTATACATATCAGCTTTCTTTCCTTATAGTAGTTCTCCCAGTCGGCATCTTCCACATGTTCAATTATGAGGGTTATATTAAGAACCTTGAAAGCCAAACAATGTGCTGCTCAGATCTAAAACTAAGTATCAATTTCAAATTTGAATCGTGAGACCTACATATAGAATATGAATCTATGGAGAGTCTGGATATTGTTTTCAACATATTCCAAATCTGAGTATATGGATAATATTGAGAGTTTGACCATTTCAAAGGAATTTTGACGACTTCGAAAATTTCCCTGTGAAAATTGGCAGTTGCGATACCTAACCTAGCATACTCAGCGATACGGATTGACAAATTTTTTTCGGGTTTGTTCTAATCGCATACCTTTCTCACAAAAAATACGTATATGTATATGAAAATTAATCGAAGGAGTACCCACTCTAAGATTTCTAGATGTATCGAGTGGTATCGGCTCAAAATACCTATCAGATATATCACTCATTATAAAATTTCTTCAAAAAAACTCAGCAGCGTGAAAAAAGTGGGAAATGATTTCTATACATTATACAATTCAATACAAGAACACATTACTATCACTAATTCTTTAGGGAACACTCCGTTTGGAACGATAAATAATTCCTTCCGCGTATTTTTCAGTGTCGATCACAACATTCAACCGTACGTGATGACATCTAATATTAAAGTGTCTTGATTCACCACTTGGTCCCGAATGGATCATCTCTGCCATCGGTTTGGAGGAAATCTAATAACCACCAATTGTCTGGATAGTGATAGCAACTGGCCAGCTCGATCGCCAGACCTCACCCCACTTGATTTCTAGTTGTTGGGCTACTTAAAACAACAGCTTTATGAGTCGCCAATTGAATATGAAAAAAATGGAAGGAAAATCACAAATTTATGCGCAACGTGGTACATAGGGTCACAATGATCGTTATCAAAAGAGCTAGGAAATGTTTGCAGCAGAACGGACGACATATTGAGCAGTTGAGGTTTCGATTAGGTATTTTTTTTTTCATTCGATTCAAATCGTGTTGTATTTATAAAATCGAATCGTATAATTTTTTTATTGAATCGTTTCATTTTTTGCCATATCTTCGTAGTCGTTTGAAAGAATCCCATCAAACCCGGCATTGTTAAATTTGTAATGATGAACTCTACTTGAATATGGAATAATATACTAAGTGTCCCTATTCAAATAGGAAAGTTTAGGTGCACTTCAGTGTGACCCTGTATACCTACGATTTATTCAATATAATATAATTACGGAGGAGGACATTTTAGCATATACACCGTATATGTATATAAAATTACTGACGATACTAAAATAAATAATTTCGGAATATGAATTCACGTACAAAAATTCAAGAGTGTAAAATACTTAATTGATTTGTGTGTGTGACAATGTAATGAGCACTTGAAAATATCTAAATTAATTGACAAATTGTTGTGTGGAACGAAATCCATCGGAAGTTTACCTAATTCGGCTCTTATTAAGTTGAAATTCGAGGACTGGTTATTTTTTTGTGATGAAATTAGATTTTCTCAATAACGAGTTCAATAAAAATTCTATTTTTCAAATTGGATGCGCACTGTTGAAAAAAAACAAAATTTTTGTTTTGCCTAAAGATGGATCTGGCAGCTAAATTCGATTCATATAAAGTTTTGATGAGAAATATGAGTTGAATATACCTACGAAGTATGAATCGAATATACCTACACAGTGGTTCCAAAGTTATGACCTGATCATAGATGAAGATTTTGGCAAAATCAAGATTACGTTCTATATCACAGTTATTGATGATGGTGAATTCTTAAAAGATACAGTTGCGAACAGAAAGCACGAAAATCAGAAAAAAATATTTCTTGATCGGAGAAAATATAACAAACGGTACGAAACATACAGGGTATATCACGACGAGCTTACACTATCTCTATATCGAGAATCAGTCGGGAGAAATCCATGAAAATATGCAAGTGATGAGAATTCTGAATCTTGGACCATTCTGTATCTGTTCCGATTGAATGTCAGTTAATACTGAAACAAAAGTTCAGATAGTGACATGTGAGCCGTTTCGACCGATAATGAATATTTTCGACACAAAAACATCCTAAAGTTGAAAAATATCGATTTTGAACACCCTATATCTCTGTAATCACCCGATAGACCCCAAGTATGATATATTGATAAAATCATCTGTTCAGGGAGAATCCTAAAATGCGATAAAATACAGGTTGTTTTGTTCAAAATATCAATGTTGCTACTACTTTCTAGTAGAAGCGGCAACACTGCATTGTCGAACATATCTTAAATGAAAAGAGCGTATACCAAGATGAAAGCATGCACATTTCCATGGATTTCTCCCGACTAATTCTCGATTCAAAGATAGTGTAAGCTCGTCGTGACATATACCCTGTATAGGGTAATGTAGTTAAATGATTACAGAGAAATATGAGAAAAAATTGAGAGAATCTCTCTACACTCACCAGCGTCAAGGAAGTGAGGCTTTGATGAAACAACACAAACACTAGAACAACACACGATCCCGATATTATTATAATTGAATCGAATGAGGAATACAAAAACACTATATACGAATCAATACGATCACTCAGTTTTAAGGAAACACTCAGTTTGGAATGATAAATAATTCCTTTCGCGTATTTTTCGATGTCGATCACAAAATTGGACCGTACATGATGACATCTAATATAAGACTGTCTTGACCTACCACCTGGTCCCGAATGAATGACTAATAAGTTGAATAATGCTGATAACCGATTATATTCCGAACAAATGTTTTATCTATGACTAATGATGATAATGGACGTATACGGGGAGAAACCTATGACTGATGATGATATTATACGAGGGGAAATCTATGACCAATGATGATGAAATTATACGGGGAAAAAGATATATGATATACAAAATATAAGATGAAGTATTGAACACGAATATACTCTGACAGTATTATTTTCGAAAGTCTGGATTGTACACAGGCTGAACATATAATCTTTCCCAAAATCTCTAGATACGTTTTGATATCTGGAGAGAGTAGGAAAATAATAAACAATGTAGCCTACTTTTTATAAGCGCGCATCAAATTTGACATTCTTGTGTGTGAAAATGTAATGAGCACACGGAAATAACTGAAATATTTGACGAATTATTCTACGGAACATAATCCATCGATAGTTCACCTAATTCAGCTCTAATTAAGTTGAAATTTGAGGACTGGTTAGT